CCGCCTGACTGCCGTCTTTCGGGTCGGCGAGGGGGGGGGGTGACTTGTAAAAAATATGTGGGACAGAAAAGGGTTAGGCATGTTTTCTTGCCTGTTGAATCTCCTCTACAAATGACCTCACCCACCCCTAGGTTTGGATGGGAAAACACCATATTTCCGTCATTTATTTATTAAATTTATTTTACGAAATTTATACTCCACCTTCCTGCCCTCATGAGGGCGACCAGAGTGGCTAACGAATTAACACACACACAATAATAATCCTGAGTTGCCACCCACCTAATCTCAAAAGGTAGGAGCACCTGAAATGGCCTTGGAAGAGGACCAGAGTGGATGTGCAGGTTCATAAGGGAGTAGGTGGTCCTTCAGGTATGTTGGTCCCAAACTGTCTAGGGCTTTAAAGGCCAACACCTTGAATTGTGCCTAGAAACAGATTGGGAGCAAGTGTAAATGTTTCTGAACACTTTTGTAGAGCAGCCCCACCGTGAGTGCATTGCAGTAATCTAATCTAGGCATAACCACGGCATGACCACAATGCCCAGGAAAGGCTGCCGCTGGCTAACCAGCCAAAACTGGTAAAAGGAGCTCCTAGACGCAGCTGCCACCTGCTTATCCAGCATTAAGCTTGGGTCCAAGAGCACCCCCTATTCCTTCAAGGGGAGTGCAGCCCCATCCAAAACAGGTGACACTTCTACAGGAGCACTTCCATCTTGTCGGGATTAAGCTATAGTTTATTAGTCTGCATCCACTCCAAAATCATAATGGATCATTCTGCCATGAATTCTTACTCTAACCTGGAGAACCAGGTTTGATTCCCCACTCTTCCACATGAAGCCTGCTAGGTGACCTTGGGCCAGTCACAGTTCTCTCAGAACTCTCTCAGCTCCACCTACCTCACAAGGTGCCTGTTGTGAGGACAGGAAGGGAAGGTGATTGTAAGCCACTTTGAGACTCTTTAGGGCAGTAGGGTTGCCATCCACCCTATGGGGACAGGGCTTCCCCCGATTTTGGACCCCAAATCCATCGCCAGCCAGCTGGCTGACAGGGGAGCCCCACCCCCCAAAAACCCACCCTTCTGATATGCCCAGTGTGATGATGTCACCCAGAGGTTTCTTGCCTGTTGAATCTCCTCTACCCAGAGGTGACATCATCATGCCAGGCACGTCATGCAGGGGACGCTCTAGAATTTGGATAAAAACCCCATGGTAACCATAGAGGGGTTTTTGGCCAAATGCTAGAGCATCTCCCGCGTGACATGCTCAGTGCGATGATGCCACCTCTGGGTGGCATCATTGCAGTGTGCGTGCTTCGTGCAGAAGATCCCAGGGAGCAGCATGGAGCCCCCCACTGACAGACAGCACCTGGCAAACCCTCTAGGGCGGAGAAAAACAGGGTACAAAAGCCAACTCCTCCTCTTCTACCTTGTTAAATGACAAATTCTATTTATCTACAATATCCCCAAACCATAGGTGTCAAAACAAAGGAATTGCCACCTGGCGTCACTCCAATAAATCTGGGAGACACCAACATACAGTTGGTCTATTGGGTCCTTCTGAATGATGGTTCCACATGGTGCATTTCCCCCTGAAAGTGCTGATTCCAGACTTTTCCCCAGGCAGTGCTGGGTCCCGCTATCTCAGATGATTGCTTAGTCCCCAGGAAACAGCAGGAACGAGAGAGATAAAAGGCCATCTGTGGCTGGCTTAACCCCGAATGCATCACACATTATAGATGCCTCAAGATGTCTTTCTGAAAGCTTTAATAAAATCCATATTGATTCATTGTCACAAGACATTAAA